TGCCAAGGAGGTAGGTGTAAGGTTAGGTTGTGCATTTGAGACTTTTCTTCCTTCTTGAGGTAAGCCTGTATTGCTATATGCTTCCCTCTTAGGACCATTTTTGCTGCATCCCAAAGGTTTTAGACTGCCATGTTTTCATTTTCATTTGTTTCCATGTATTTTTAAAATTCTTCCTTGATTTCCTGGTTAACCCATTCATTTTTTAGTAGGATGTTCTTTAACCTCCATTTATTTGTGGTCTTTCCAAATTTTTTCTTGAGACTGAATTCAAGTTTCATAGCATTGTGGTCTGAAAATATGCATCATATGATCTCAATCTTTTTGTATTTGTTGAAACATGATTTGTGTCCCAGTATGTGATCTATTCTGGAGAATGTTCCATGTGCACTCAAGAAGAATGTGTATTCTCCTGATTTGGGGTGAAATGTTCCAAATATATCTGAAGTCCTTCTGGTCCAGTGAATCATTGAAAGCCATTGTTTCCTTGTTGATTTTCTACTTAGATAATCTGTCCATTGCTGTAACTGGGGTTTTAACTTCCTTACTATTATTGTATTATTATCTATGAGTTGCTTTATGTTTGTTATTAATTGATTTATGTATAGGTGCTCCCAAGTTGGGGGCATAAATATTGACAATTGCTAGATCTTCTTGTTGGATAGACCCCTTTATTATGATATAGTGCTCTTCTTCATCTCTTGTTACAGTCTTTGTTTTAAAATCTATTTTTTTCTGATATAAGTATTGTTACTCCAGCTTTCTTTTGATGTCCATTTGCATGATAAATATTCTTTCATCCCTTCAGTATCAATCTGCAGGTGACTTTACGTCTAAAATGAGTCTCTTGTAGGCAATATATGAGTCTTGTTTTTTTTTTTTTTATCCATTCTGACACCCTATGTCTTTTGATTGCATCATTTAGTCCATTTACATACAGAGTGATTATTGATATATATGAAATAAGTGCCATTGTATTACCTGTAAAGTCAGTGTTTCTAGAGATTTTCTGTGTTACTTTCTAGTCTTTGTTGCTTTTGGTCTTTCTTTCCCACTCAAAGAGTCCCCTTTCATATTTCTTGCAGGGCTGGTTTAGTGGTCAAAAACTCCTTTAGTTTTTGTTTGTCTGAGAAACTATTTATTTCTCCTTCTATTCTGATAGATAGCCTTGCTAGTAAAGTATTCTTGGCTGCAGATTTTTACCATTCAGCACTGTGAATATATCAGGCAACTCCCTTCTGGCTTGCCAAGTTTCTATTGAGAAAACTGCAACTAACCTTATTGGTCTTCCTTTGTAAGTTAAGGACTCCTTTGTCCTGCTACCTTTAAGATTTTTCTTTATAGCAGTATTCTGCAAATTTAATGACTATATGTCTTGGTGTTGGCCTGCTTTTGTTGATTTTGATGGGAGTTCTCTGTGTCTCCTGGATTTGGATGTCTGTTTCCTTTTCCAGATTAGGGAAGTTTACAAGCTATTATTTCCTCAGATAAATTTTCTGTCCCCTTTTCTCTTTCTTCTTCTTCTTGGACTCCTATGATACGAATGTTATTACGTTTCATGGAGTCACTGATTTTCCTAAGTCCATTCTCATGTTCCATAATTCTTCTTTCTCTCCTTTGTTCAGCTTTATTATTTTCCATTACTTTCTCTTTTATGTCACTAATTTGTTCTTCTGTTTCTTCCAGCCTACTCTTCATTGTATCAAGCCTGTTTCCAGCATCATTTATTTCACTCTTCATCTCTTATCAATTTATTTTTAACTCTCTTATCTCTGTGGAAGGGTCTCCCTGATGTCTTCTATTCTTTCCTCAAGCCCATTGAGTATCCTTAAGATTTTTGCTTTACATTCTCCATTAGGCATGTTACTTATATCTGTTTCACTTAGATCTTTGGCCATGGCCTCATCTTGTTCTTTCATTTGTCATAAATTACTCCATCTTGTCATTTTGTCTGAGTTTCTGCCTCCTTCTATGTGTTAGAAAAGCGTTATGTCTCTTGCTCCTGAAAGTAATGGCCTTATGAAGAAGAGGTCATGTAGTAGCCCAAGCCTGGTGATTTAGGGATTATCTCCAGTGTGTGGTGTATGTGCTATGCTGTTGTGGTTTTTTTTTTTTTTTCTGTCTATCCTTCAGGCTTCTTCATGCAGATGCTTTCCTTGCTTGCTGTGGGTAGTTTGTGTTTCCAGGCCTGAATGCCATGAGTTTTAACTAGGTGTGCTTTGGCCTCCTTTTGACATGAAATCTGACATCACTTCTACCAGAAGGTGAATACTGGTCTTCTGGGGAATGGGCTCTCCATGCTGTGACTGAGTCAAGCTTAAGTGAGAAGGGCAGTCCTGCCAGAGCACAGGGGGCTTTGCTTTGGTGTAAACATGTTAGACAGCCAGTATCTGTGCTCTCATACTTTCTCAGGTGTCTCTGTTTTCATGCGGCAGGAGGGGTGGTATATGGCACCAGCCACCTTCTTTGTTCCCAGAAAAGCATCTCCCTGAATGCTGCTGCTCAGTGACATGATCCTAGAAGAGTGAATAATCTCACCTCTGTGTGCTCCAGGCATTCTTCAAATAGCTGTTTCCATGCTGTCTGTCCCTGGGTTGTTTACCTGCCTTCTCTCCAGGTACTGGGCAGTGTGCTCAAGGCTCCATCCTAGCCAAGGCTACTGACCTGTAAAAATTCAGGATTTAAGACCAACTGGTTGCAACAACTCACAAAATTCAGCCCTTCTTGTTTTTGAAGCCAATAGCTTTTGGAGAAACCTCTTTACGCATTCCCCTGTGTGCTCCTCTCTCTCACCCTTCTCCTCAACCACAGCTCCCTCCCTTCAGTAGCACCTGTGATCTGTTTCTACCCCAAACCTCCTCTCCACACTTCTTAACTTCTCCAATGTCACATCTTCTCTCCCTTTAGTTGTGGAGTTTGTTGTGTCAGTCTTCAGGTCAATTCCTGTGTGTTTAGGATGATTTGATAGTTATCTAGTTGTATTGGTGGGATGAAACAAGCCTAGTGTCTTCCTACTCCACCACCATCTTCCTCTCTCCTTAATTTCTGAAGAAAGTGCAAAAGTGGTTCAGCAGAGGAAGATAGCCCTTTCAACAAACTGTGAACCTTGACCTAAACTGGAAATATAAACCACTTAAGGAAGAAAGGTTGAGTGAAACTATTCAGAATCTATGATTAGGTGATGAATTCTTTGACTTGACACCAAAAGCAAAATATATAAATGGGAAAATTGATAAATTATACTTTATCAGAATCAAAAGCTTTTGCTATCTGGAAGACACCATAAAGAAGGTGAAAAGACAAACATCATACAGATTACTGTTTAGGCAACAAACCACATATGTGTTAAAGACTAATTATCCAAGGTGTATACAAAATATAGAAACAATTCAAAATTCAACAAAAAACCCCCACAAAAATAACTAGAAAATAAACAAGATATATTAAGAAACAATTCAGAGAGGACATACAGATGGCAAATAAACACTTGAACAATATTTATTATCATCATCAATTAGTGAAATACAATTTAAAATAAAAATGGAATATTATTACACACCCATCAGAATGGCTAAAATAAAAAGTTGCAACACCAAACACTGACAGGGATGTAGAAAACCTGATAAGTCATTCATTGCTGTTAAAGATGTAAAATGTACAGCCAATCTGGAAAACATTTCGGCAGTTTCTTATAAAACTAAGCATGTAATTACCACATAATCCAGCAATTGCATTCTTGAGCATATATCCCAGAGAAATGAAAACTTATGTATATACAAAAACTTGTAATCAAATGTGTATAGCAGCTTTATTCATACTGGCCAAAAACTAGAAATGACACATACATCTTTCAATGGGTAAATGGTTAAAAACTGTGGAGCATCCATGCCATGGAATAGTACTCATCAATAACAAGGAATGAAATGTTGGTACATGCCACAACTTGGATCAATTTCTGGGAAATTATGCTGAGTGAAAAAAGCCAACACCCAAAGTTTGTATACTGTATGGTTTAACTTATAAAACATTCTTGAAAAAAGAAAATTAGAGAAATGGAGAAGATACTAGTGATTTCCAGGGTTTAAGGATCTGGGGGAGGTGAATACTTGTGGTGATGAAACCGTTCTGTATCTTCACTGTACTGGGTGATATATGGACCTACATATGTTACAAAATTGCATAGAACTAAGTTCACATAAACACACCAATAAATTCATGTAAACCAGGGAAATCTAAATAATATTAGTGGATTGTATCAATGTCAATTTTTCAGTTGAAATATAGGCCTATTTTTTGGTAATACTTTGCCACTGGGGTAACTGAGTGAAAGTATATGGGAAATCTCTGTATTATTTCCTACATTCAGAAACTATTTTTGAAAGTGTTGCTTGGTATCTTTTGCAAAATTTAGGACATTTTCAGTTGTTATTTCTTAAATATGCATTCAACCCCTCTCATTTTCTCTTCTTCTGGGATTCTGATTATTAACACAGGACATTTTGTTATTGTTGGGCAGAGCCTTGAACTATCTTCATTTATTTTCAATTATTTTCGCACTATTGTTTGGGTGGTTAAATTCTATTGATCTGTTCTCAAGTTTATTTATCTATCATGTTATCTGCACTGTACCATTGAGCCTGTGCTGTGAGATTTCTGTTACTATATTTTTCAGTTATATAATTTACATTTGGTTCTTTTTAAACAACTTCTATGTCTTTGCTGAGATTTCCATTTTTTATTTGTTTCATGAAGATTAATAATTGCTCATTGAGGCATTTTTATAATTGCTTTTTTTTTTTAAGAGGGAAAGGGAGAGCAAGAAGCTTAAGCAGGATCCACACCCAGCACAGAGCCCGATGCAGGGCTCAATCCCACAATCCTGAGATCATGACTGAGCTGAAATCAAGAGTTGGATGTTTAACTGACTGAGCCACCCAGGCTCCCCTATGATTGCTTCTTTAAAATTTTTGTCAGATAATTCCAATATCTGATTAATCTCATTGTTTCTGTCATTTAGGTTTTGGTATGACAGGTGATTTTCATTTTTATTCTGGATATTTGGGTGTTGGAAGATTCTGAGTTTATTTAAATCCTTTGTTTTAGAAGACAATTACTCTGTTTAGGTTTACCATGCAGATTCTGGCATGCTTTGTAGAGCGACTTTTGAATACAAATTAATAAGAGCTTTTGGCATGCTATTCTTTCTGCTTAGTATATCTGGTGCCATCATGTTTCCCACTAATCCCTGCTTGCACTTCCTAAGAGAATAGAATGAACTTCCTCAGCCTGGGTTGCCTCTTTTCCTATAAGTTTATGAAGGGAGTCTCAGGTTTATAAGATAGGGATTACCTGTAGGCTCTGCCTAGCTGCTTATTTAATGAAGATCACTGCTGGTGCAATGATGCCAGATGTCTCTGTATGGGGGAAGGAAGCCTTGGTTTGGTGGGGGCAAAGAGAGCACTTCCTGGGTAAACTGCTTGTTGTGGAAGGATTCTCCTTACTGTTACAGTAAGGCCCCCTGGTCTATCTAGGTAGGAAGGTGGTTCTTGGGCCCATGGAAGCAAAGAACTCTTCCCAAGTGGATTTTTTTTTCCTTTGGAAGATCTAATTGGCTTTATTAAGTGATTCCTGAATGGAGCAACATCTCCTCTAGCCAGTGCAGAGATGCTCCCTAGGTGGGTGTTTGTTGTGTTGGATCCCCCTGTCCAGGTGTATCTCTAGGTGGGGGAAGGGATTTCCAGGCCCAGTGAAGACAGAGAGTGCTACTCACTTGTATCAAGTTTTGCCTTTGAGAGGAGCTAAGATGGTGGTGTAGAAGGAGGACCCTAGGCTTGTCTTGTCCCTTGAATACAAGTAGATAAATACCAAATCATTCTGAATACCCAAGAAATCTATGTGGGGACTGACAGAACAAACTGCACAACTAGAGGGAGAGAAGAGGCCACATCGAGGAAGGTAGGAAGAGACTTGGTTTGGGGGAGAAATGGATTGTGAGTGCTGCAGAGGGGAGGGAGCCCTGGTTATGGAGAAAGGTGAGAGACAGAAGAGCACACAGGGAAACACACTAGGAGAACATTTGCCCAAAGCTATTGGCTGGGATAACAAGAGGGGGTGATTTTCTTGAGGTTTTTGTTTTTGTTTTTTGTTTTTGTAATCAGGAGGGCTTGAAGACTGGATTTTTTTTTTTTTTAGATTTTATTTAGTTATTTAAGAAAGAGAGAGTGAGAGAGAGAGCGGGGGAGGAGCAGAGGGAGAGGGACAAGTGGACTCCACACTGAGCATGGAGCCCACCTGGGGCTCTATCCCACTGCCCTGTGATTATGATCTGAGCCAAAACCAAGAGTCAGACACTCAACTGATGGAGCCACCCAGGTGCCCCTGAAGACTGGAATTTTAAAGGTCAGAGGGCTTGGCTGGGATAGAGCTCTGAGGGTGCTGCCCTAATCCTGGAGAGAAGGCAGACAAACAACCCCAGAGCACCTAAGGTACACAGGGGAAAGACTGTTCCTTCTTCTTGGAGTGCATCTGTGAAAAGTGGCCTTCACAGAGATGACTGGGGACAAAAGAGCCTGTGGGCACCATTTCCCTTCCCCACCCTTCAGCATAGGCACAGACAAACCTGCTCAGTGTTTCTCACTTAAACATTGGTTGTTTAGCCTACTTGCTCCAATTCCCATGCCCCTGCATTCTTGGTGCAACTGCCCTTCTAGGTCAAACCTGCATCCATCCCACTGCAGCAAGACACTAACCAAGCACAGTCAGCCACCACAGTACATACCTAATGTTTGGAGTTTTAAAAGTCAGCAGGCTTGGCTGGGATAGAGCACAAAGTGCAGTGCACTGCTCCAGGCAGGCAAGGAACCCAGAGATACACAGCTTGAAAACAGTGTCCTGAAAAATGCCTGGGACACATGAGTGGAAATTATTCACTCTTCTGGGAGGGCTTCCCTGAGAGCAGCATGAACAGAGACCCCTCTCCAGGGAAGAAGGAGCATGCTGGTGTCATTTTCCTCCCCTCAGCATAAACCAGCCTCAGTGACTAACACAGCACCTTACACTGGGTCCCTAACCTACTGACACCAAGTCCTGACCCCCTGCACTCTTCTGGTACTGCTTTCCTCAAGCAAGTGTGCCAAAGTCTCAGTGCAGCACACCCTTCCCCAGAAGACCAGCAGAAACCCTTTTACACACTATGTCTCAGGAACAGAGAGTTCTGCAAGACTTCAGTTCTAGTGGAAGTAGCATCAGGTTTCATTTAATAAGCAGATCACAGCACACCTAGAAAAAACTCACCACACTCTGGCCAAGTTCCAAACACTGCCCACTGCAGGCAAGGAGAGAATCTGCAGATGACTGGCCTGAAGGATACAGCAGCCAAAACATAGCAGCAAAGTCCATGTAGCACACAGCAGAAGCAATCCCTGAAGCACCAGGCCCTGGACAATTTATGACCTCTTCTTCATAAAGCCATGACTCTTGGGTGCCTGGGTGGCTCAGTTGGTTAAGTGTCTCTCTCTCTCTTTTATTTTTTTAAGATTTTATTCATTTATTTGACAGAGAGAGACACAGTGAGAGAGGGAACGCAAGCAGGAGGAGTGGCAGACGGAGAAGCAAGCTTCCTGCGGAGCAGGGAACCCGATGCGGGGCTTGATCTCAGGACCCTGGGACTGTGACCTGAGCCGAAGGCAGACGCTTAACGACTGAGCCACCCAGGCACCCTAAGTGTCTGACTTAATTTTGGCTCAGGTCATGATCTCAGGGCCATGAGATCGAGCCCCACATTGGGCTCTGTGCTCAGCACAGGGTCTGCTTGAATTTCTCTCCTTCTCCCTCTGCCCATCCCCCAAGCCTCATGTGCTCTCTCTCCCTCGCTCAAATAAATAAATATGTTTGAAAAAAAAAATAAGCTATGACTCTCAGGAGCAGGAAACAACAGACTTTCCTAAAACACAGAAGAAGACAGAGACTTACACAAAAGGCCAAGATAGAGGAATTCATCCCAGAAGAAAGAACAAGAAAAAGTCACGGCAAGAGATCTAACCAAAAGAGATATAATTAACATGCCCGATAGAGATTTTAAAGCAACAATCATAAGAATACTCGCTAGGTTTAAGAAAAGAATGGAAGACATCAGGGAGGCCCTTACCATACAGAAAAAAGAGCTTAAAAATTTCAGAAATGAAAAAAGTGCAATAACTGAGATTTGAAAGAGACTAGATGTATTGACCACAGGATGGAAGAATCAGAGGAATAAAGAAGTGATACAGAAGACAGAATAATGGAAAATAGTGAGGCTGAATAAAAGAAAGAACAATTATGGACCACAAGAATAGACTTTGGGAACTCAGTGACTCCATCATACATAATAACATTTGTATCATTGGAATCCCAGAAGAAGAAGAGAGGGAAAGGGGGGCAGAAGGTATATTTGAGGAAATAATAGCAGAAAAATTCCCTAATCTTAAGAAGGAAAAAGACATCCAAATTCAGGAATTACAGAGACCTCCATTAAAGTCAACAAAAGCAGGCCAACAAGAAGACGTATTATAATGAAAATTTACAAAATATAGTGATAAAGAAAAACAATTCTAAAAACACCAAGTCTAAGAAGTCCCTAACTTACAAGGGAAGACCCATAACTCGAGCTGCAGATCTCTCCACAGAAACTTGGCAAACCAGAAGAAAGTGACATGATATATTCAATGTGCTGAATGGGAAAACTCTGCAGTGAAGAATACTCTATCCAGCAAGGCTATCATTCAGAGAGAAAGAGAGTTTCCCAGGCAAACAAAACCTAAAGGAGTTCATGACCACTAAACCAGCACTCCAAGAAATATTAAAGGGAACTCTCTGAATAGGAAAGAAAGACCAAAAGCAACAAAGACTAGAAAGGAACAGAGAAAATATCTAGATAACAATGACAAAACAAGCAATAAAATGGCACAAAATACATATCAATAATTACTCTGAATATAAATGGACTAAATGCTCCAATCAAAAGAAATAGGGTGTCAGAATGGATTAAAAAAAAAGACAATCTGTAGGTTGCCTACAAGAGACTCATTTTACCCTAAAGACACCTGCAGATTGAAAGTGAGGGGATAGAGAAACATATAACATGCAAATGTACATCAATAGAAAGCCCAAGTAGCAATACATATATAAGACACTCTAGATTTTATTTTATTTTTATTTTTTTAAGATTTTATTTATTTATTTGACAGAGAGAGACACAGTGAGAGAGGGAACATAAGCAGGGGGAGTGGGGGAGGGAGAAGCAGGCTTCCCGCCGAGCAGGGAGCCCGATGTGGGACTCGATCCCAGGATCCTGGGATCATGACCTGAGCCGAAGGCAGATGCTTAATGACTGAGCCACCCAGGCGCCCAAGACACTCTAGATTTTAAACCAAAGACTATAATAAGACAAGAAGAAGGTCACTGTATCATAATAAAGGGGACAACTCAGCAAGAAAATCTAACAATTATAAGTACTTATGACCCCAAGTTGGGAGCACCAAAATATAGAAAACAATTAATAACAAATATAAAGGAACTCATTGATAATAATACAATAATAGTAGACAATTTTAACACCCCACTTACATCAACAGGCAGATCATCTAAGCAAAAAACCAATAAGGAAGCACTGGCTTTGAATGATACACTGGACCAGATGGACTTAACAGATATATTCAGAACATTTCATCTTAAAGCAGCAGAATATACATTCTTGTCAAGTGCACAGGGGACATTCTCCAGAATAGATCACATACTAGGTCACAAATTAGGCCACAACAAGTACAAGATGGAGATCTTACCATGCATATTTTCTGACCACAACACAGTGAAACTAGAAGACAACCACAATTTTTGCCATTGCTTCCCTTGTCTTTGGCGATGTGTCTAGGAGGAAGTTGCTGTGACTGAGGTTGAAGAGGTTGCTGCATGTGTTCTCCTCTAGGATTTTGATGGATCCCTGTCTCACATTTAGGTCTTTCATCCATTTTGAGTCTATTTTTGTGTATGGTGTAAAGAAATGGTCCAGTTTCATTCTTCTGCATGTGGCTGTCCAATGTTTCCAGCACCATTTATTGAATAGATTGTCTTTTTTCCACAGGATATTCTTTCCTGCTTTGTCAAAGATTAGTTGACCATAGAGTTGAGGGTCTATTTCTGGGATCTCTATTCTTTTCCATTGATCTATGTGTCCTTTTTTGTGCCAGTACCATGCTGTCTTGATGATTACAACTTTGTAATAGAGCTTGAACTACTGGGACTTCATCAAGATAAAAAGCTTTTGCACAGCAAAGGAAACAGTCAACAAAACCAAAAGACAACCAACAGGGGCCTGGGTGGCTCAGTCATTAAGCGTCTGCCTTCGGCTCAGGTCATGATCCCAGGGTCCTGAGATTGAGCCCTGCATTGGGCTCCCTGCTCAGTGGGAAGCCTGCTTCTCCCTCTCCCACTCCCCCTGCTGTGTTCCCTCTCTCGTGGTGTCTCTCTCTGTCAAATAAATAAATAAAATCTTTTTTAAAAAATGTAAAAAGAAAAAAAGACAACCAACAGAATGGGAGAAGATATTTGCAAATGACAGATCAGATAAAGGGCTAGTACCCAAAATCTATAAATAACCTATCAAACTCAACACCCAAGGAACAAATAATCCAATCAGGAAATGGGCAGAAGACATGAACAGACATTTCTGCAAAGAAGACATCCAAATGGCCAACAGACACATGAAAAAGTGCTCAACATCACTCGGCATCAGGGAAATACAAATCAAAACCACAATGAGGTACCATCTCACATCAGTCAGGATGGCTAAAATTAACAAGTCAGGAAACGACAGATGTTGGCAAGGATGCAGAGAAAAGGGAACCATCCTACACTGTTGGTGGGGATGCAAGCTGGTGCAGCCACTCTGGAAAACAGTATGGAGGTTCCTCAAAAAGTTGAAAATAGAGCTACCCTACGACCCAGCCATTGTTCTACTGGGTATTTACCCCAAAGATACACATGTAGTAATCCAAAGGGGCACATGCACCCCAAAGTTTATAGCAGCAATGTCCACAATAGCCAAACTATGGAAAGAGCCTAGATGTTCATCGACAGATGAATGGATAAAGAAGATGTGGTATATATATATATATATACAATGGAAAATTATGCAGCTAGCAAAAAAATTGAAATCTTGCCATTTGCAATGATGTGGATGGAAATACAGGGTATTATGCTAAGTGAAATAAGTCAATCAGAGAAAGACAATTATCATATGATCTCACTGATATGTGGAATTTGAGAAACAAGGCAGAGGATCATAGGGGAAGAGAGGAAAAAATGAAACAAGAGGAAACAAGAGAGGGAGATAAACCATAAAAGACTCTTAATCTCAGGAAACAAACTGAAGGTTGCTGGAGTGGAGGAGGGTGGGAGAGATGGGGTGGTTGGGTGATGGACATTGGGGAGAGTATGTGTTAAGGTGAATGCTGTGTATTGCGTAAGACTGATGAATCACAGACCTGTACACCTGAAACAAATAATACATTATATGTTAATAAAAAAACAAGATAAATAAATGAATAAATAAATAAATAAATAAATAAATAAATAAATACAATCTTAAAAAGAACATTCCATCCTAAAACAACAGAATACTCCCTCTTCTCGAGTGCACATGGAACATTCTCCAGAAAATATCACATACTGGGGCACAAATCAGGTCTTAACAGATACCAAAAGACTGAGATTATTCCCTGCATATTTTAAGACCACAATGCTTTGAAACTGGAACTCAATCACAAGAAATTTGGAAGGAACTCAAACACTTGGAGGTTAAAGAGCATCCTGCTAAAGAATGAATGGGTCAACCAAGAAATTAAGAAGAACTTAAAAATTCATGGAAACTAATGAGAATGAAAACACATCGATTCAAAACCTCTGGGATACAGCAAAGGTGTCTTAAGAGGGAAGTACATAGCAATACAAGCCTCTCTCAAAAAATTAGAAAAATTCCAAATGCACAAGCTAGCTTCTACCTAAAGGAGCTGGAGAAAGAACAGCAAATAAAGCCTAAACCAAGAAGGAGAAGAGAAATAATAAAGATTAGAGCACAAATCAATGAAATAAAAACCAGAAGAACATTAAACAGATCAATGAACTAGAAGCTGGTTCTTTGAAAGAATTAAAATCAATGAACCTCTTGCCAGACTTATCCAAAAGAAAAGAGAAAGGACCCAAATTAATAAAATCATGAATGAAAGGGGGAGAGATGATGACCAATACCAAGGAAATACAGTTAGAACATATTATGTTAGAACATATTATGTTCTGTTCTATTATGTTCTGTTAGAACATATTATGAGCAACAATATGCCAACAAATTAAGGAATCTGGAAGAAATGGATGCATTCCTGATACTTATAAAGTGCCAACACTGAAACAGGATGAAATAGACAATCTGAACAGACCAATAACCAGCAAGGAAATTGAAGCACTAATAAAAAACCTCTCAAAAAACAAGAGTCCAGGGCCAGTTGGCTTCCCAGGGGGAATTCTACCAAACATTTAAGGAAGAACTAATACCCATTCTCCTGAAGCTGTTTCAAAAAATAGAAATGGAAGGAAAACTTCCAAACCCTTTCTATGAGGCCAGCATTTCCTTGATCCCCAAACCAGACAAAAACCCCACCGAAAAGGAGAATTACAGACCAATATCCCTGATCAACATGGATGCCAAAATACTCACCAAGATACTAGCCAATAGGATCCAATAACATTAAAACGATTATTCACCACGACCACGTGCAATTTATTCCTGGGATGCAAGGGAGGTTCAACATTCAAAATCAATCAACGTGATAGATTACATTAATAAAAGTAAAGAGAAGAACCACATGATTCTCTCAATTGATGCAGAAAAAGCATTTTACAAAATACAACATACTTTCTTGATTCAAACACCTGCAAGTATAGGGATAGAGGGAACATACCTCAATATCATAAAAAGCCAGCTATGAAAAGCTCACAGCGAATATCATTCTCAATGGGGTAAAAACTGAAAGCTTTTCCCTTAAGGTCAGGAACATGACAGGAATGCAAACTCTCACCACTACTGTTCAACATAGTACTAGAAGTCCTAGTCTCAGCAATCAGACAACAAAAAGAAATAAAAGGCATTCAAACTGGCAAACAAGAAGTCAAACTCTCTTCACAGATGCAAAAGACTCCACCCCAAAATTGCTAGAACTCGTACAGAAATTCAACAGTGTGGCAGGATACAAAATCAATGCACAGAAATCAGTTGCATTTCTATACACAAACAATGAGACAGAATAAAGAGAAATTAAGGAATCCATCCCATTTACAATTGCACCAAAAACCATAAGATACCTAGGAATAAACCTAACCAAAGAGGTAAAGGTTCTGTACTCTAGAAACTACAGAACACTTATGAAAGTAATTGAGGAAGACACAAGTGATGGAAAAACATTCCATGTTCATGGACTGGAAGAATAAACATTGTGAAAATGTCTATGCTGCCTAGAGCAATCTACATATTCAATGCAATCCCTATCAAAATACCATCAACATTTTTCAGAGCTGGAACAAACAATCCTAAAATCTGTATGGAAAGAGAAAAGACCCCGAATTGCCAGATGAATATTCAAAAAGAAAACTAAAGCTGGGAGGTTCACAGTGCCTGACTCCAAGGTATATTACAAAGCTGTGGTCATCAAGAGAGCATAGTACTGGCACAAAAACAGACACATAGATAATGGACCAGAACAGAGAGCCCAGAAATGGACTCTCACCTCTACGGTCAACTAATATTACACAAATCAGGAAAGAATATTCAATGGAAAAAAGAGAGTCTCTTCAATAAATGCTGCTGGGAAAATTGGACAGCCACATGCAGAAGAATGAAACTGGACCATTCTCTTACACCATACACAAAGATAAACTCAAAATGGATGAAAGAACTCAATATGAGACAGGAATCCATCAAAATCCTAGAGGAGAACACAGACAGTAACCTCTTTGACCTCATCCACAGCAACTTCTTGCAAGACACATCTCTAAAGGCAAGGGAAACAAAAGCAAAAATGAACACTTGGGCCTTCATCAAGATTAAAAGCTTCTGCACGGCAAAGGATACAGTCAACAAAATTAAAAGGCAACCTCTGGAATGGGAGAAGATATTTGCAAATGACATAATATATAAAGGGCTGGTATCCACTATCCATAAAGAACTTCTCAAACTCAACACCCAAAAGACAAATAATCAAGTCAGGAAATGGGCAGAAGACATGAACAGACACTTCTCCAAAGAAGATATACAAATGGTCAACAGACAAATGATAAAGTGCTCCACATCACTTGCCATCAGGGAAATACAAATCAAAACCACAATGAGATAACACCTTATACCAGTTAGAATGGCCAAAATTAATAAGATATGAACAACAAAAGTTGGTGAGGATGTGGAGAAAGGGGAACCGTCCAACACTGTTGGTGGGAATGCAAGCTGGTACAGCCACTCTGGAAAACAGTATGGAGGCTCCTTAAATGTTAAAAATAGAGCTACCCTATGACCCAGGAACTGCACTACTGGGTATTTACCCTCAAAGATATAGATGTAATGAAAAGAAGGGGCACCTTCACTCCAAAGTTCATAGCAGCAATGTCCACAATACCCAAACTGGAAGGAACTGAGATGTCCTTCAACAGATGAATGGATAAAGAAGATGTGGTTCATATATACAATGGAACATTACTCAGCCATCAGAAAGGATGAATATCTACCATTTTCATCAACATGGATAGAACTGGAGGGTATTATGCTAATTGAAATATGTCAATCAGAGAAACACAATTATCACATGGTTTCAGTCATATGTGGAATAAAAGGAATAACGTAGAAGATCATAGGGACAGGGAGGGAAAACTGAACAGGAGGAAATCAGGCAGGGAGATAAACCATATGGGACTCTTGACTCTGGGAAATAAACTGAGGGTTGTGGAAAGGGAATTAGGTGGGGGGATGGGATGACTAGGTGATGGACATCAAGGAAGGCACATGATGCGGTGAGCACTAGGTGTTATATGCAACTAATGAATCATTGAACATTACATCAAATATTAATGATGTATTTTATATGTTAGCTAATTGAATTTATTTTTTTTTAAGATTTTATTTATTTATTTGAGAGAGAGAGAATGAGAGAGAGAGCGCATGAGAGGGGGGAGGGTCAGAGGGCGAAGCAGACTCCCTGCCGAGCACGGAGCCCGATGCCGGACTCGATCCAGGGACTCCAGGATCATGACCTGAGCTGAAGGCAGTCGCTCAACCATCTGAGCCACCCAGGCGCCCTTTTTTTAAAGATTTTATTTATTTATTTGACAGAGAGAGACACAGCGAGAGAGGGAACACAAGCAGAGGGAGTAGGAGAGGGAGAAGCAGGCTTCCCGCGGAGCAGAGAGCTGGATGCGGGGCTCGATCCCAGGACCCTGGGATCATGGCCTGAGCCGAAAGCAGACGCTTAACCGACTGAGCCACCCAGGCGCTCCAGGCTAATTGAATTTAAATTAAAAAAAAAACATGCTACTAAACAATGAATGGGTCAAGAAGGAAATCAAAGAAGAAATTTTAAAAAATACATGAAATCAAATGAAACTGAAAACATCACTGTCCAAAACCTTAGCGATGCAGCAAAACTGTTCATAAAAGGGAAGTATATAGCAATACAGGCCTACCTCAAGGAGGAAGAAAAATCTCAAACAACTTAAGTTTACACCTAAAGGAGCTAGAAAAAGAACAACAAATGAAGCCTAAAACCAGCAGAAGAAGGGAATTACTAAAGACTACAGTAGACATAAATGATATAGAAACTAAAAACAAAAGAAAATCAAAAATAAAGGGAAAAAATTAGAACAGGTCAATGAAAGCAGGAGTTGGTTCTTTGAAAACATTAATAAAATAGATAAATCCATAGCCAGACTCATCAAAGAGAAAAGAGACGGAAACCAAAGAAATAAAAGCACAAATGAGAGAGTAGCAATAACAACCAACACCACAAAAATACAAACTATTATATGAGAATATTATATGCCAACAAACTGAACAATCTGGAAGAAATGGATAAATTCCCAGAAACATAAAAAGTACCAAAACTGAAACAGGAAGAAATAGAAAACTTGAACAGACTGATAATCAGCAAAGATATTGAATCAGTAATCAAAAATCTCCCAACGACAACATAAAAGTTCAGGCCCAGATGGCTTCCCAGGGGAATTCTACCAAACATTTATTTATTTTTTTATTTTTAAGATTTTATTTATTTATTTATTTATTTATTTTTATTTATTTTTATTTATTTATTTTTAAGACTTCATTTATTTGACAGAGATAGACACAGCGAGAGAGGGAACACAAGCAGGGGAGTAGGAGAGGGAGAAGCAGGCCTCCCGCAGAGCAGGGAGTCCGATGCAGGACTCGATCTCAGGACCCTGGAATCATAACCTGAGTGAAGGCAGACACTTAACGACTAAGCCACCCAGGTGCCCCTCTACCAAACATTTAAAGAAGAGTTAATACCTGTTCTTCTGAAACTGTTCCAATAAATAGAAAAGGAAGGAAAACTTCCAAATTCATTTTCTGAGGCCAGCATTACATTGATCCCCAAACCAACCAAAGACCTTAATAAAAAGGAGAATTACAGGTCAATATCCCTGATGAACACGGATGCAAAAATTCTCAACAAAATACTAGCAAATCAAATCCAACAGTACATTTAAGGAAACATTCACCATGATCAAGTGGGATTTATTTCTGGGCTGCAAGGGTAGTTCAATGTTCACAAATCAATGAAGTGATACACCACATTAATAAAAGAAAAAATAAGAACCATATGATTCTCTCAGTTGATGCAGAAAAAGTATTTGACAAAATACAGCATCCATTTTTTAAAAATTTATTTATTTATTATTTGAGAGAGAGAGAGAGCATGAGTGGGGGTGGGGGCAGAGAAAGGGAGAGAGAGAATCCCAAGCAGACTCCTCATTGAGTGCAGAGCCAAATGCGGGGTTCGATCTCAAGAATCCAAGATTATGACCTGAGCCAAAATCAAGAGTCAGATGCTTAACTGACTGAGCCACCCAGATGCCCTTAGCATCCATGCTTTATAAAAACCCTCAACAACGTAGGGATAGAGGGAACATACCTTAACATAATAAAGGCCATATATGAAAACCCCACAACTAATATCATTCTCAATGGAGAAACACTGAGAGTTTTTCCTCTATGGTCAGGAAAAAGACAGGGATATCCACTCACAACACTGTTATTTAACATAGTACTGGAAGCCCTAGTCTTAGCAATGAGAAATAAAACAGCAACAAAAAGAAATAAGCATTCAAACTGGCAAGGTAGAAGTCAAACTTTCACTACTTGTGATGGCATGATACTCCATACAGAAAACCCAAAAGACTCCACCAAAAACTTGATAAAACTGATACATGAATTCAGTAAAGTTGCCTGATACAAAATCAATGTACAGAAACTGTTTGCATTTCTATACACCAATAATGAAGCAGCAAAAAAGAAATCAAGGAATTGACCCCATTTACAATTGTACCAAAACCCATAAGATACCTAGGAATAAACCTAACCAAAGAGGTAAAAGATCTGTACTCTGAAAACCATAGAACACTTACCAAAGAAACTGAAGGTGACACAAAGAATTGGAAAAACATTCCATGCTCATGGATTGGAAGAACAAATATTGCTAAAATGACTATATTACCCAAAGCAATGTACACGATTAATGTAATCCCTATCAAAATACCACCAGCATGTATTACAAGCTAGATCAAACAATCCTAAAATTTGTGAGGAGAACACAGGCAGCAACCTTTTTTACATCCGCTGTAGCAAATTCTTACTAGTTATGTCTCCTGACACAAGAGAAACAAAAGCAAAAAACAAACAAACAAACAAAAAAACACCCTACTGGGACTTCATCAAAATAAAAATCTGCACAGCAAAGGAAACAATCAACAAAACTAAAAGGCAACCTTCAAACTGGGAGACTATATTTGCAAATGATGTATCTGATAAAGGGTTAGTATCCAAAATTTATAAAGAACTTATAAAAATCAACACTTAAAAAATAAGTAATCCAGCAATGTCCACAATATTCAAACTGTGAAAAGAGCCCAGATGTCCATCAACAGATGAATGGATAAGGAAGATGTGGTATATCACAATGGAATATTACTCAGCCATCAAAAAGGATGAATACTTACCATTTACATCAACGTGGATGGAACTGGTGGGTATTATGCTGAGTGAAATAAGTCAATCAGAGAAAGACAATTATCATATGGCTTCACTCATATATGGAATATAAGGAATAGTGCAGAGGATCATAGGAAAAGGGAGGGAAAACTGAATGAGAAGAAATCAGGGAGGGAGACAAACCATGGGAGACTCTTAACTATAAGAATCAAACTGAGGGTTGCTGGAGGGGTGGGGGGTGGGGGGATGGAGTAAGGGTGATGGGCTTAATTAAGGAGGGCACATGATGTGATGAGCACTGGGTGTTAATATGCAACGGATGAATAACTGAACTCTACATCTGAAACTAATAATGTACTATATGTTGGCTAATTGAATTTAAATTAAGAGAAAGAATCCAGTTAAAAAAATGGGCAGAAGACATGAATCAACAGGTTTCCAAAGAAGACATACAGATGGCTAACATACCCATCAGAAGATACTCAACATCATTCATCTTCATGGAAATAACAAATCAAAAGAACAATGAGATATCACCTCACACCAGTCAGAATGGTTAAAATTAAGAACACAAGAAACAACAGGTATTGGCGTGGATGCAGAGAAAAGGGAACCCTCATATTGCTGGCAGGAATGCAAACTGATGCAGCCACTCTGGAAAATAGTATGGAGGTTTCTTGAAAATTTAAAAATGACCTGATATTTTAGATGACGTTTTTAAAAACAGAATTCTCTATGTTCTTACAGCATGTAAGATTATTTTCAGAGGCCAACTTGATACATATAAATGGATAATTTAAAATGATAAAATCAACTGACTTTTTTCTATAAAGTTCATCTTAGCCACAAGATTCACTGAATGTCTTACTCAGATTTTTCCAAGAGTTCTATCACTGATTTGTAAATGGAGGGAAGCCCGCCTAACTTTCTCCATTTTCAAAGTTCCCAATATTCTAAGACTATAATTCTAAATATTTATTTTAACAGAGTTCTAATTTTTATTGCTTGCAGCTTACAAAATGATTGAGACATACTCAAATAATGTGGAAAAATATGGTCCACATAAAAGAGAATTTGATTTAGTCAAAATATTTTTTAAATGGAGTCAAATAATTAAATATTGACATTCATTTTTGTTTACTATTATCATTAAGGCATGAATCTGAATTATTGTCAAATTATAACATAAAAATTAATAATTAGTTCCAGGAAGCCACAACATATGTGAATTTAAGGTGACATGTTAAATTTTACTAGAAATAGCAAGTACTAAGGTTTGACTCCAGTACGTGTTAACTAAGTGATGCAGCCACTTTGGACAGGAAACGACTCATTGTGGCATCAACTAAAGTTTGAAATAGCTTGGGATGAACTGCTACTACTGCATTTACTGGAATTTCCACTAGGGTTGTCCTGGCCAATGTCCAAGCAGACATATGGCCAATTTCCTCCTGTCAGTGAGCCAAATCTCACCCTAGAGTTATCTCCCCACTCTATATTATAAACAGAAGAGGGAGGTTAGTCTTGTTTAAAATAAATGACATTCTTTTGCATTTATGCTACAAGTAGGATGTCATTTAAATTCTGCTTTTGTTAATTTTTGTCCATGTTTTACATCTTGAACACTTAAGTTGCTCATCATTAAAGAAAGCTTTGCTAATTTGGAACAGACTGAAAGTGTTAAACTACTGTTTTTGCCTAGAAATCAAAATGCGTATTTATCCGGACAACCCTTCCACACACATACACACCCTAGTGTACTGGTGAACTTTTAAATTCCTTCATGTTTAGGTCTCAGCCTCAAATATTACATGAAATGAATTACTATCTCCTTCCTTCCAGCTAGTGTGACTATATAATAGTTATTTTCAAAATAATGTCCTTATTATTCCAGAAAATTAAATTTTGCCTTCATTCTTATAATAAGAAAATAAACTTCACATACAAAAGTATAGGTTTAATACTTTTTTCTCATTCATAAAATGAGAAAGGAAAGTATAAAATCTCTAGGATCACTTCTAGCATATCTCAAGTCAAAGATCGGGCATGGAACCTGCTTAAGATTTTCTCCTTCTCCCTCTGCCCTTTGCCCCCCACCTCTAAAGGGTATTAAGGAGAGCATGTGTGGTGATGAGCACCGGGTGTTATAGGCAACTAATGAATCATTGAACACTACATCAAAAACTAATGATGTACTATATGTTGGCTAATTGAACATAATAATAAAAAAGAGTAATAAGAAATAAATAAGAAATAAAAATTAAAAATAAACTTCTAAAATTAATTTTAATATTACATTTTCTTTGAGCAAATATACTTAAAATAAAATTTTTTCAGTACAAATAAATAAATATGTGAGGTGATGGATGTGTTAAGTAGATGGTGGGAATCCTTTCACAACATATACATATCACCACAACGTACATTTTAAATATCTTACAACTTTGTCAATTATACCTCAATAAAGCTGAAAAAATTCAAATATTATTCAATATGTAATCAGTATACACATACTCATGAAATATTTTAATTTTTTAAACTAAGCCTTCAAAATCTGGTTTGTATTTGACAGGATATCTTAATTCAGATGCAAAATCGTCAGTGGTTAAAGTGAAAATTAATCCTACTAAAACAGTAAGATTATACTTAACAGGAAACTATTTTAAACTGTTGCAGCTTTTAAATTTAAATTAATTAAAAATCCAGTCTCTCAGGGGCGCCTGGGTGGCTTAGTCATTAAGCGTCTGCCTTCGGCTTAGGTCATGGTCCCAAGGTCCTGGGATCGAGCCCCGCATCGGGCTCCTTGCTTGGCAGGAAGCCTGCTTCTCTCTCTCCCACTCCCCCTGCTTGTGTTCCCTCTCTCGCTGTGTCTGTCTGTCAAATAAATAAACAAAAATCTTTAAATAAATACATAAATAAAATAAAAACCCAGTCTCTCATAGTAGCCACATTTTAAGTGCTCAATAGCCACATATGACTAGTAGTTGCCATATTGATTAGTGCAGATCTAGATCATTCAAGACAAGATGAGGAGGACTCTGGTCATTGAAAGGGAAGGAAAAAGAACAGAACTATATAGATAGTTCTGAGCATGCCTGAAGGAACCAAGGAAGAGGAAGCGGCCCTCTGTTGTCTAGAAAGTGGATAAACCACAATATGGATAGCTTATGCAGGGATAACTATGATTTATCAATTAGCATTTAACTAAACACCATCTTTACATACTTAATTCTGAAAACTCTTCCTTACTTCCCTCAGTTAGTAAAAATGTGATTATTACAGTCCCCAAGGATACCTGAGTTATTTCTGATTTCTCTCAGTCTCTCTCCAATGTTACCTATCTATCTATCATCTATCTATATTATCTATCTCCCTAATGAGGCACTAAGAACTATTCTTTCCTCAATTTGAAAACTTCTTCAATTTTGGTTCCTTCCTTTCACTTCCCACTGACATCATTCTAGTCCAGGCTTTATGCTTCATCATATTACACCTGAATTGCTACAAAAGTTTTTTCATTGATCCTCCTATTCCATTCTCTCCCACCTAATTCATACTGTACATCTCCATTACATTAATCTTTCTAAGACATAATTTCCATGATCTGACTTCTCTATTAAAACATGTTCACAGGTTTTCACCTCTGCCCAGAATAAATTTCTCATTGTTCTTATTGTGTGGGGGGAGAAGTGGGGGTGTGGGGTGTGTGTGTGTTTACCTCTCAGTCATTTTGGTACCAAATTAAACTTAACCCCATTTCTGTTCTCCAATTCTTTAATAAAAGTTTTTCTCTCTCCTCCTATCAACTGTGATCTCCTTGGGGCACCTGGGTGGCTCAGTTGTTAAGCGTCTGCCTTCGGCTCAGGTCATGATCCCAGGGTCCTGGGATCGAGCCCCGCATGGGGCTCCTTGCTCGGCAGGAAGCCTGCTTCTCCCTCACCCACTCCCCCTGCTTGTGTCCCCTCTCTCGCTGTCTCTCTCTGTGTCAAATAAATAAAATCTTAAAACAAAACAAAAACTGATCTCCTTAAAGGTCAGAGTTGCATATTATTCTTATCATAGAATCCTCAATATGTTATGTTGTATTTGCACAATGATGCTTAATAAGTATTTGTTAATTTGAAATAAATACAATGGAGACTCCAGCTGACAAATTGCCTTCTTATATGTTTCCTGGATAAGAACATGAAGAGTTTAGGTCACCGAGACAAATAAACTGCATAATCTACCCATGTTTTACTCCCATTACTCAAGCATTATGTTATATTAATTATACTAATTTGTAAAAATGCCAATGCCAATATATATGTTAATTTACAATCAACATGATCAACAGAACCCCTAGAAGCAGACTTCTTTTTAAGCCATCAAGTTGCTATGTTTTTAATTGACAAGATTTTATTAATTTTTTGGCAAGACTTATTTTTGGCAAGATTTTTTAATAAACCAGACTGAAGAGAAAAAGAAAAGAAATAGGATTAAATTAAAACACGTGCCATTATTTAAAAGGAGTAATCGCAACTTTGTCACCACCAACAAAAATTAGACTTCTTACCTTGAAAGTATAAAGTGGGTCACCATTTTTCTAGAAAATGGTGTTGAAAGAGAAATCATTTGAACAAATTTGTTCAGTGAAACTCTGTGAGCCCATGGACAAAGAAAACTTTTATTTTTGAGAAAAGTAACATTTGTCCTTTGAAAATTCCAGTGATGAATAAGAAAAAAATATATTTTATGATTTTAGTGGGAGAAAGTTGGTTTAAGGGATTAAAAAAAATAAAATCACATTATTAAATTCTCTTGGTGTTTAAATAATTTATTTGATGTTTGCTACTTGTGCATTCATTTCGATGCTTGACACACGTATCTTCTGGACATGAAAAATAGTGGTCTATTTAAAAGACCTTAATGAATGACAATATTTTTGAAATGCACTTTATAAATACAAATATTTCAAAGCAAAGGGAGAAAACTGTTGAATGAGTAGACAATAAAATTCTGAACATTTCTGATTTACAAAAGTATGCCTACTTTTTTCATTAAATGAACACAACCACTTTAAAAAATATATGTGTGTATGTGTGTATACCCACACACAGTACAGAAACATATCAAAGTGGCAAATTTTTAGTGCACTGCCAAAGTGCTACAATAACTGTCATCCATAGACATTCACGTGCAAACACTACTGGACTAGTACACTACAGCAAATAAGAGAGCATTAGTTAGCCAAACTCTGTGGCAAAAACTTTTAAAAAATGAAAATAATAAAACAGAAATCTACTTCTCATCTGAACAATGTAGAAAATAATCTCGTTTATCATGAATCATATGTGTGTGTGTGTGTGTGTGTATGTATGTTACACACAGTATTATCTAAGATGAGAAAACAGGGGCAGGAAAACTATCCATTAAAAAAATAAGAAAAAGAAAAGAATGGCAAAGACTGGAATGCACATGCACATGCAAGGGAGTGGAGTGGTTAAGCAGAAAGTAACAGAAATCAATTAAAGTCCGAAACAGCAGCTAGTTTTGACACTGGTATGAATCATGGAAGTTGGATGACTGGAAAAGGAGAGGTGAAAATAAATTCTCTTCTTTGTTTTAAGCTATGTATAGAACTGTCTGTCACTAGCCAAAGCCCATTTGGAATGTAAGTTGGCTAAACTGTCACAAGTCACAATACAGACTTTGCCAAAACTACTACACAGGGTTGTTCTGAACAACAAATAAGATACCAGTTGTGAAGATATTCCACAAAATTCAAAAGCTGTACTCATATAAGACAGACAGCTTACACAATAATCAGATTCATTCTATCCTTCCAATCTGAGAAAATGCAAACAACGAGCTCTCCAGACCACAGAAAGGAGGAAACCTCTGCTCCATTATCAGAGCTTCATGCAACAGCAGGCTCCGTAATGACAGCCAAGTCTGACTTTGGAAGCAGAGCAAAGAAGGTGACAAACTGATCTAAGGGAAAGAGTTGCAGTATACCTGTGAGCAATGTCTCCATTCCTGGCATTTCCCCACAGAAATTCCTGGAAGGGGGCGGGATTATTCAGTGGAAAAAATACAGATTCCCTATCCTGCCTCACTCTAACCCTCACAAAACTTACTGCTTAAACATTAATAGGATTAAATTATCTCAATTTCTCCCTTACAGCAGGAAGGCCTGAGGGGGTAAATATATTCATCAAAATATGCCAAAGCACATAATTCTTTTCCTTACGTATTAAAAACTGGAAAAGAAGAAAAGTTTAAAGTGTGTTAGCTATGTGTGTGCATTGCTATGATCATTTGACAGCTAGGAAACTCAGGCTTAGTGAGACTAATTTATTCAAGGCCACTTATCCCACACAAATTTGACCCTGGTCTTGTTTCATGTCAAAATTCTGGCTGACAACTTCAACAAAAACAAATCCTACCTTCATTAAAAAGGGTCAGGATTATAAATGGTGAGAATAGCCAACATATTTTTTGTTAACCTTTTTTCTTGTTAATTCTATCACTATTTAAGAAAATATTCTGGCATTGAATAATACTTCAATTAAACTTCTATAAATGCCTTAAACAGCATTTCCTCCTCCACTAATAGTAATCCTGTAAGAACAACCCATGATATCAGAAACACAGGTAATCACCAATAAATGCATTCATCAGCAGCAGCTGCAAATATCACAAAAAAAGAGAGAACCAGACATTATGTATCACCTTATAAAAAGAATACAACATGACCTAAGAAATATTCCTGCCCCCAAAATCGTATTTCCATTCTGATCAAGTCTCTAGATCCATCTACCAAATTAAGGAAACGGAGGGTAGAGGAACTTAACACCACAAGCATGTAATCACAAAAATTTAAGGTTGTGGTAAATGCTACATGTGAAACAACCTATTTCTTCAACAAATAAAAGTGCTAAGAAAGAGACAAAGGGGAAACAGATGAAAAAGACACTTAAGAGAGTTACTGGAATTCTATATTAAAAATACTAAAATAAATAGCATTTATGAGACAATTGCAATTGGAATCTGATTGGATATTTATTGATATTAAGGACTTACTGTTAACATTAAGTATGATAATGGAATTGTAATTTTTTCCAAAAGAGACCATACTTTATAGAACTATATATAGAATAATTATGGTTGAAATGATGTAAAGTATGGTATTTATTCCAAAATAATTCTTGATGAGAGTTAGAGTAGGGATTAGACAAAACTGTTTTTAAATGGATAATAGATGAGGTTGGGTGCTAAGCACATGGCTGTTCATTATACTATTATGTACGTTTGAAAAAAAAGCACATGCAACACAATCACTAAAAAATGTCCTAATTTTTTTTCCAAAGATATAGCTTATTATCAAGGAATTACAGAGCTGAAGACCTTAGAAACAATCTATTCAAACCACCTCATTTTATAAATAAGGAAATTAAGGCTCAGATAGGTTAAGTGACTTACTCAGGGTCACACAACTTGACAGTTCCAGAGTCAAGATCATAATTTAAATCTCCAAACTTACAGCCCAGGGCGTTGTTGTTTTTCAAACCTATAAGGAATGACTGAATTTATTTATTATTTATTTATTTTTTTGGAATGACTGAATTTAAACATTTAGTCCAGAATAGCCTAAAAATTGAGTGTAATTCATAAGAATAAGCCACGTGGCAAGGAATTAATAGTTCATACCAAAAATGAGCTGCCAGTCACTGTGATAAGATCTGTTTCTTTCTGAGAACCATGGTTTCCTGCTGGATTGGAGAATCCAAACTGGGTTTCTTCCTCCTGTCCAAAGAAGTCAGAGTCAGGATGTACATTCCATTCTGCTTTGGTTGGCGGCAGTAGTTCTGAGACACTGTTTTCACAAAGGGTGCTTGAAGGAGTCAGAGCATCTGTGTCCACTGTTAGCTTACTGCTGGGGGTCAAAGCTTGGGGCTCTTGACTTGAGTTTTTCATAGCCAAAGAGCCCAGAGATGCCAATGGCCCCACACTTAGACTTGGGACATCATCCATATCTAAGGGACTCTGCTGAAAACCAGAGGCTGTCGTTCCAAAAAAGAGAGAGGTATCCAGACTTTGAGGAAGGTCACTGGTGGCCATCAAGGCCCGAGGGTCCACAGCCTGCCCTAAGGAATTATTACTATTAGCAGGGAGGCTCCCTGCCAGAGTTGAACTCACAGAAGCCACATCAATAGTCAAGATTCCAGAGTTCACCAATGCTGTGTCCAGCACTGCAGCAGAACTACTGCCAGGCACATCCGAGAAGAGAGACACTAGCTCTGCATCACTGAGATCACTCTGTCCCTGGCTGGTAAGTTCACTGCTGGGCGTAAGAGAATTCGCAGCTTCTAGCTGAGCTAAGAGATCCTGGCCGAGGTTGTGCCTTTTGGTCATGTGGGTCTTCATGCTGTGCTTGGATGTGAAGAGTTTATTACAAGTAGAGACTGGGCAACGGCTTTTCCAAGTGTCCACGTCCTGTAAGTGTTTCTTGGAGTGGATGTAGAGACTACTGCGAGCAGAGAACCTGGCACAGCAGCCTTCCACAGGGCACACAAAAGGCTTTGTGCCCAGGTGGGTTATGCTGTGGCCTTTCAGATGCTCAGCCCTTGTGAAAGATTTCCCACAGCCTTCCACAGGGCACATGAACCTCCGGTCATCCTCGTGCTTCCTTTTGTGCCTTAAGAGTTTGGACATGCTGGTGAAGTTCCAGCCACAGCCGTCAAAGTCACAAAGGAAAGGTCTCTCACCGGTGTGGCTCCGCAGGTGAATTTTCAGGCGACAAGCCTTGTCGTACTGTTTGCTGCAGCCAGGAAAAGAGCAGGAAAAGAGTTCCTGTTCCCTGAAATGGGCACGGTTATGGGAAAACAGGGCACTCACTGTGATAAACGTCTTCTTGCAGCCAGAAAACGCGCACTGGTATGGCCTCTCAGGCTCGAAATGGCTGCGCTGGTGGGCGCTGAGTTTGGCCTGAGTGGGGAAGCTCTCCTCGCACACCTCGCATTTGAACGAGTTCTCCTGCTCATGGCCCTTCATGTGCGCCTTGAGGTTATACACCGTGGTGAAGCTCTTGCCACAGCCCTCCGCAGGGCAGCCAAAGGGCCGCAGTTTGTCGTGCGACTGCAGGTGCCTCTTGAGCTTGTAGGAGGTGGTGAAAGTCCAGCCACAGCCGCCCAGGGGGCACTTGAAGGGCCGCTGGCCCTGGCTGCTGCTGTGAGTCAGCAGGTGCACTTTCAGCTGGTGCTTCTTGGCGAAGGTTTGTCCGCACTGCGCCTCGGGACACAGGTACAGCACCACGCCCGGGCCTGGGCCCAGCGGCCTGCGGGGACTCTCGGCTGCGGCTCGGCCCTCTGCCTCCTCCTCAGGCGCGGGGGCGGGCGCCGGTTCAGCTGGCTCCGCCAGCAGGAGGTCGGGCGGCAGCTCGGGGCAGTCGCTGGGCTGCGCGGCGTGCGGGACCCCCGCTTGCGGAGCCATCAGACCCCCAGGCTGAGGGGCAGGCGCGACCCCAGGCTCCCAGGCCGGCGGCGGGGGCGTGGCCAGGGTGAGGACACCGTTCTCGAAGCGCAACAGCAGGTTTTGGTTGTGGATGGTGACGGTGCCCGTGAAGGCCGCGGCGGGTCCCAGGCCTGGGGCGGGGATCGGGTTTTCAGCCGGGGATGGGGCGGGGATTGCGGACAGGCAGCGGGGGCCTAGCGCCTGGCGGCCCGCGGGATTCGCGCCGTTCTCACCCTGCTGGAGCTGTGGGACCGACTCGGCCTCCTCCCTCCATACAGGCCCTGCGGCCTGGCCGGCGCCCGTGGTCTCCACATCGCCACCCGCCGGGTCCAGCAACACCAGGAAGAAGTCATCGCCGTCGCCGTCGCCGCCGCCGCCGCCGCCGCCAGCGTGATCCGACCTCGGCGCCAACGGGCTCGGGCCCGGGCCCCGTGAGGCCGCTCTGGCCTCCTCGTGCCGCCTCCCGGGCCCGCCATCTTGGGGGCCCCGGAGCAGCAGGAGGCGGCGCGCGGGGACCTGGCCAGCCCGCGGGTCAGGGCCGCCGTGGAACCGGCTGGCGCCCGCGGGGCTGCCAGCACCGCCGCTCTGTCGTGTCCCTCGAGGCGGGAGCAGCCTCGGGCTTTCCATCTCCGCGTCGGTGAGGCTCCACTGGAACCAGAGCCACGGAGGAGGCGCGACCCCGCCCCCTGCCGCGGGCCTGAGCACGTTCCTGAAAGGAAAAAAAAAAAAAGTGCAATGCGCAGAAACTGGCCCTATCAGATATTAAAACGTGTTTAACGACACAGTGATTTAAATATTCTGGTCCTGGGTCTCTGGGACAGAATAGAAAGCCCAGAGGCAGAGCCTGGTATGCACAAATAAGTTCTACATTCAATATTTGTAGGAAATCAAGGACGTCTTCCCAGATAATGGGGAAATGAAAGTTCACCTGGTAAATGGTGCTGGAATACCTAGCAATCTATCTGCTAAATGCAACTTAAATCTGTACATCACTGTATATACCAAAATAAACACCCTCAGCCCCTCCCGGTGGTAAGCATGGTGATTTTTTAAAAATTGTTTACTGGATGGCTGCCTGGCTGGATTTATCAATCCAGTGAGAGAAAATTCCTGGGACAATACACTATGTGTCAACATTAAACTACCATAGTGCTAGCAAATTATGCTGAAAATGATTTTTTTTTTTTTTCCTGGACAGCTTCCATATCCAGAACTGTCTTGAGCAAGGTCCTCAGGAAAATTTGTTTTATAGTTATTTATTTATTTATTTATTTATTTATTTATTTATTTATTTATTTATTTATATTTTTGCCTGCTGATACAGAAATTAGAATGAGTAAGAGGTGGAGCCAAAACAGATTACCACTGTTCAGCCTAGAAGTGCAAAGCCTGGAAGATGAAACAATTTATATTGAATCCTGGAAAACCCACCCCACCCCTGGGTTCTTCTAAGACGGTGCACAAGCTAAACCAACTCTTTGCCATTACACCATGGTAAATTTCATGTCCAGTCCCACAGCATTCCTTAGCTAATTCTAGATTCTCCAGCACATGGAGGTCTCTGGACAGGAGTACCAGTTAAATGTGATAAGATTAAACCCTAAGTCACTGTTATGGACTCTGCTGAGAAAAATACCCATATGACCGTGTTCAATAGTCCTGGTGTGCCGCCTTGCATTTCAGTGTGGTGGCCCAATCTCACTGTAATGGATTTGGCCTGTGAAGCCTAATGATTGTATTAATGATGATGATGATCTTCTGACTTGTCTGTCATCTGTGATTTGGGAAATGATATAAATAGAGGGTGAAATATCTAGCAAGGGAAAGGTTTAGGGTAATGACTAGATTATGGGGTGCATATAGTTTAAATAATCCCCACTCCCCCCTTTTTAGTGATAACGTATACTTGCGGAACACTTGATAGAAAGAAAAAGTTTTTCATCCCTAATACTCTAAACCTCATCAAAATTTTTACTTCACATATTTTCCTTCCATTACATTTTTTTGCAGGAAGCCATATTTAAAATCTGAGGTATAGAGGAGTGCATGAAACATATCTGCCAGGTTTAGATAATTTGTAAAAACAAACACCCGTGTAACTAGGAGCCAGGTCAAGAAATAGACCATTGCCAGCTTTCCAGAATACAGACACTGTGTTCCTCCCAATCACAACCCACACCCTTTCTTAGAGATATAGTCATTATCCTGACATTGTGAGTATTTCAGTGTTTTTCTTTATAGCTTTACCACTTGTGTACACATCCCTAAATAATACCATTTATATGAATTTATATAAATAAATCATACTGCATGCTTCCTCTGATGGCTTGCTTCTCTCACTTGTATCACTTATTTGAGAGATTCATCCATGTTTTTCAGAGTAGCTATAGATTCTTTGTCTCCATTGTTCACTAGCCTTCCAGTGTATAATTTTAGTGAAGCAATCATGAATTGATTGAACATCCAATTCTACAGTGGATGGGCACTATGGTTGTTTCTAGTTTGGGACTATTAGTATTAACAATGCTGCAGTGAACATTCTTGGACATTTCCCATGGAATACATGTGTAAAAGTCTCTTGGGTCTACCTCCAAAAATAGAATCACTAGGGTATGAATATCCTCAACTTTTCTAGATGATGCCAAATTGATTTCTGTAGTAGTTGTGCCAATTTACAGTCTCACCAGTAGCATAGAGAGTTCCTGCTGCTACACTTCTTCACCTACACCAAGGATTGTCAGAATTTACTTTTTTTTTTACTATTACTAGTAAGCTTTTGCATATTCTCATATTTATGAGCCTTTTGGATTTTCTCTTCTGTAAAAGGACTGTTTAAGTTTAATTCTGTCAGCCATTCTTCTATTTTCCATCTACACTTATTCATTTATTGAGTTCTTTACGTATTTTAAATACTAGTCCATTGATTATATGTGTGGTCAAAATATTCCCTTGCTTTGTTGCTTGAATTTTCACTTGATTTATGCTACACTTTGCGATCATATGCTATACAGTCAAATTTATCTTTCTTTTCTTTATTATTAGTGCTTGTCTGTTTTTAGAAATCTGTCTCTTCCTTGGGGCTATGAACATATTCTCTGTATTGTCTTCTAAAATATTTACAGTTTTACCTTTCACAGGTAAGTCTTAATCCCCCTACAAGTGATGTTTATGTATGGTGTTGAGTAGGGTTCTGGTTTCCTGCCCGCCCCCCCCCCCCCCCCGCGCTTTGGATATCTGATTGTCTCAGTAAACCACGTTTGAAAAGTCTGCTTTTTTTCCAACTTATTTACAGCAACACGTGTCATAAATCAAGTGTCTATGTATATATGGGCTAGTTTCTATACACTCTAGTAAATACCATGGCTCTTTTTATTTATTTGAAATACCACATATCAGTATTAATTGCTACAGATCTGAAGTCAATCCTGTTATTTGGATAAGGCCAGTCCATTCTACTTTGTTCTTTGAAGGTGTTTTGTTATTTTTAGCCCGTTTTGACTCCATTTAGATGATCAATTCATTAGAATTTCAACCAAAATCTTGTTTGAGATTTTAATTAAGATTGTGTTGAACTTTTAGATTTGACGTCTTTTCAATATTGAGTGTTTGTTTTTTGTTCTCTCTTTTAATGATTAAAGCAGCAGGACTGTCCATTTCAGTACTCAAAGATAGAAAAATTTGGAGTGGGGGTGGCCCTCTCAAAGGCTGGAGTTCACACCTCACTGGAGAAAGTATAGGAGAACCTATTGGATGGCAGAGAAATTTGCTGGTTTGTGGGCACCAGAGCTGGTTTGCAGAACCAGAGCTGGGCTACAGTTGCAGGGTGAGCAGGAAGTAACACTTTGGAACACATCAGTGTAGACAAGTGACTAGTGGCTAGTGTGTGGGCATGTAGTAGGAATAAGGATGCTGGTGGAGTTGGAGGCCTGGAGCCAAAAATGTCCTGCATGCAGGATTAGAAGGGCTTTGGTGTTGGGAGGGCTACAGCACTGGCAGAACTACAGATGATAAACCTGTTGTTGGGCAGGGGGCGGGTGGGGGGCAGTAAAGAAAGCAAGCAGAGAGAATCAGTGGGCAGGTGGTTTGGAGCACAGGATGTCTCTGTGAAGAAAGTCATAGCAAGCCAATCAGCAGGCCACACCAGGATTGTACATTCAATGAGGAGTTGTTCTTGGCTCATGCTTGGGGCAGAGCACTGAGGATATCCTCACACACACACACCTCTGACAACCAGAAATAACAGGAGAGGCATTTTCTTCAATGTCCCTCCAGTGTCTTCTCCTGAGAAAATATAACATTGTGTCACTTTGAAGGAGAGATACTTAAAAATTGTGTCTATTATCAGAGAGCATGTTTTGATGGGTGAATTTAGAGTAGCGAGGCAATACTTTAATAATAGTGTCACATTTGTCAAGTATCTACCTATGTATAGGCTAGTTTCTATACCCTCCAGTAAGTCCTATGGCCCTATTAATCTGTCTATTTGAAATACTATATACCAGTATTAATTATTACACGTCTAAAGCCAATCTTGATATTTGGATAAGGCCTGTCAATTCTTCCTTGTTCTTCAAAAGTGTCTTGGTTATATTTGGCCTGTTTTGATTCCATTTAAGTGATCAATTCATCAGAAAAATTTAAAAATTTAAAACAAAACTCTTTGGGGTATCTAATTAAGATTTTGTTGAACTTTTACATTTGCCTTCATTTCAATATTGAATGTTTGATTCATAGATATGGTCTATCTTTCCCTTTAATAATAATAGAAAAAACCTTCTTTAATGTGTCCCAATAATATTTTGTATTTTTTTCCATTAGAGGACATTTTATCCTAGGTACTTCATATTTTGCAAATACCATTTTTGAAATTTTCATTTTCTAAATTTGTTCTGGTAAATAGAATGCAAATGACTTTTGTATATTGATTTTTTATGTTACAAATATCTAAACTCTTTTGTTGATTCTAACAACTTGTCTGTACATACTTGTAAGATTTAAGGTACAGAATCATAACATCTGCAAATAATGCCAGTCTTACTTCTTCCTTTCAAAGCATTTTGTTCCTTTCTTTTCCCTTACTGCTTTCTCTCAATGATAGTGAAGGTCTTTATTTGATGCATCTCTCAAAGAGAAAGGTATCAGTAATTCTAAGAATGATGTTTGATGTACATGTGTTCTGTAGCAAGCTGAATCAAGCAGGGGGTAGAAAATGCACAGTGGACAAGGGAAGTCTAACATAAACATAAGATTTAATGTAAAGAATTATTAAACTATGAAAAATGCATAATAAAGAGGATATGTTATTTCCTATGTGTGGTATTCTAGGGCTGTGGGAGAGTGCCCAAGGAAAGACCAATTTGAATGTGGGCCCCTCTCCAAGGCTGGAGTTCACACCTCACTGGAGAAGGTATAGGAGAACCTACTGGATGACAAACAAGTTTGCTGGTTAGTGGGTGCCAGAGCTGGTTTACAAAACCAGAGCTGGTCTACAGTTACAGGTAAGCAGGAAACAACCCTCTGGAACACATCAGTGTGGACAAGCCACAGCTGGTGGCCAGTGTGTGGGTGTGTAGTAAGAATGGGGGTGCTTGTGGAGTTGGAGGCCTGGAGTTAAAAATGCCCTGCACATAGGATCAGAAAGGCCTTGGTTTTGGGAGGGCTGCAGCACTGGGAGAACTACAGAAGAATAGTTGTTTGGGGGTGGGGCAG